TAATTCTTGCATGTCCTAACAGAGTGGGTGTATGCTCGAATTATTCTTCTTCACTTGTATTTGCTATACACAAATCATTGTACCCTAAGATGTATGCACTAAGTCCTTGGTTAGCTATAAATGTTGCTCTGTAGAGCAGGTGGAAGGCACTTGGGAATGCAGTAAGGTTTGCAACATTTTCTCTGAATAATCTCACCAGAAATACCATGTCAGGTTGAACAGAAATTCTGAGCAGATGTTTCCCACGTAATTTCAGCCAGGTAAAGCTGCATATGACTGTCTTATGTCTACCTAGTCATTAAATGTTACTTTAGGCCTGTCTGATGGCTGGTACTTCCAAACATACTCAAGACTATTAAACATCTGAAATCACACACCACTTGAAAAAGTTAATTATCCAGTTCACTTGTGCTTCCTTTCACAGTGAGTTTTGGCTCAATACTACACCGAAATAGTATGAAATGCTGAGTACTTGTTTTCCCATGCAAGCTGAATCCTCTGTGCTGTACCAACATCCCTTCTTCAATACCAAGGGAGAACCATGTAAATTCTCTTTGTATAAATTAAAAGAATGTATTGCTCAAACAGTAAGTTGTTCCCCAGTGCCCAGATAAATGCAAAGTTCATTTGACACCTAACTCACTGAATTCCTGATTATTTCACCTAAAAATAAATAGTTTAAAGCCAGTAGATAAATTACATTCCTTTCCAAAAATCATTATTCATAGAATAAGTTATGTAATCACTTAATATCTTTTCAGTAATGAAAATAATAAAAAGTAGATGTTATGCATAATACACTCTAATTTTAATTAAAACTGAAAGGAAAACAACAAAAATATCAGAAATACATTATTGCTTTCAACTGATGCAGCAGCCACTTGGTCCAGGACTAGACTTTCTGTAATCAAGAAAAATCAACTTTCTTTTAAATCTTTGTAACTCCACTGAAGTTCACAGAGGCTGAAGGCAAGAGTCAAGTACAAAATATAATTTGGAGGTCATGTACAGAGAGACTGAACTCCACCTTTCCTATCAGTATTATTTTTAAACTCATAATTAGCATAACACTTTTTCCTTCATCACCCTGACTTTGATATCCTCAAGAATAAGCTGATAACAAGTTCTACTACAGTAATCAAATTTTCAAAGATGATACCTTATAGGAACTCTTCAATTATAGCAAGGATATTCCAATTTCCTTTAGAGAAGACTTCAGTCTTAGAGGTGCTCATCCTCTACCACTAATTTGAGTATAATTTGAGTCTCAATGTCAGCATTTTCTTACTAAACCTATAGAGTATAGTTGCATTATGCTTAGTGTGAGACATTTGCATCATCTATATCTGAGTTAGAAAACAGAAACAATATTATATGTAGAATCATTTCTGGTGTGTATTCGTTAGGCAAATAGACAGATAGCATTGATGCAGAAACCAAATGAGCATCTATACCAAAACAAAGAAATATTGTGTATGTGAAATATTGTGTATGTGAAAGGCCCCAGTAGATTGACATGTGAAGGGAAACCTCATGACCCATCAAAATTAAAATCTCAGACTACAAGAGTAAAGGTAGGAGAGGTGATCAAAATTCTCTAGTTGCTAGGCATTTTATGGAAAGAGGCCACATTCACTCATCTTATTAAAATTCATGAAAATTGAAAATATCCAAAAGCCCAGGAGGGGTGGGGTCAGAAAATCCATTTCACTGGGAAGCTTACTCTAAATTCACCTTGAAAGCACTTTCCCCATCACAGATTTCCTAACAGCCTTTTGATTTCTCTCCTACTTAGGAGGTAATTATAGAACTTCTTTTCCTCCCAGCCTAACACATATAGAAGGGGTTCACTTCAGCCTTTTATGCATATTGCAATGCTTTTTTTTAACTAGATCTTTATTGCAAATTATTTCTCCTTTGCTCTCTCTCTCTCTGATTAATTTAATTAGTTTTATTTTTATTTCCTTTTTCCCCCATATTTGTCCTCTGTGTCTTTTGCTATCGTAACTACTTTAAGTATTAAATATTGTTGAACTCTGCACTTGTCTTTTCCTCTTTTTCTTTGTTTTTGCCTTTAATTTTAAATTTACAGTTGTCAGAAAACCATGACACTCAGTCACAGGAATGACGGAAAGGGGACATTAAACAAAGGCTACATAGCATATTTCTCATGTGGATAAATTTTTTAAAAAGTTCACATCCAAAGGAAAAGAATAAATTCTTTTCAGAAGGATTTCCAAGGCCAGCAGAATCATGTGAGATTTTTAAGATCACAATCATTTCAGTCAGGAAGAATCTGATTTTATGAGTTTAAACTGCCAATGATGGATGATTGGTTTTTGTCATCTGATCTGTCCCTCACAGTTTTTGCTGCTTTCAAGTTCTTTTACAAATTGACACAAAGAGGAAGATGAGATGGGAAATTCTGCACCATCCCATTTTCACATCAAGGAAGCCTATCTCCTTCTAACACTACTACTGCAATAGTACAACAGAATTTCTCCATGCTCAGGCACCTCCCCTATCTTGGGAATTTAAGTTTAAGATTTATTAATAACTAATAAACTCAGTGTTTCCAATATTAAACCAAATCTTAGGCATCATTTAACCACTGAAAAAGTGCTGTTTTAGGCAAGTCAGAAGTAGAGTCAAAACCGCTAGTTTCTTTTTGTTTGTTTGTTTGGGGTTTTCTGCTAATTGTTCACCTTTATTCTTAAAAAGAAAGCTGGTAAGCCCTTTTTTTTTTAACTGCTCCTCTATCATTGGGTAAAAATTTCAGGCCATGAACAATGGTAGTACTGCCATAAACAGCTTGCTAGTGTATATCCCCAAGATTTAACATTCCAAATAGAAGTAGCAGAGCTGTATGGCTCATCACACACTTTTGCAAGTGATGTCAATGGTCAATAACACACCAGCCATTTGCCCCCTGAATCCACCAAGAATATATAATTGTCAATAAAGAGGAAAAAAGGAAACATTCTTTCATGAAGAAACAGTCATATAGCCAAATATTTTCATAGTAAGTGAAAATATAAGAATAAAGACTTGCTACAAAGCTCTCAAAGAGTTGGTCCACTTTGTAAAACAAGCAATCACAGATGTGACTAAATCAACTGAACTACACATCACTGAAAGGTTTTCTCTTCAATGTATTAAGAACAGATTTTTTTCCTCAGCCCAACTGTTCTGCTTTATATATCATTCACTCAGTCAGCTGCATAGCCCTCTCCCATTCTTAATGATTTCAATAGTAGTTACTGAAGCTTTTTTACGTTTAAGATGATAGAAATGCTACATGCTGTAAGTATTTTTATATACCTAAGTGGCCTCAAAAGAAAAACTTTTTTCTATTTATAAACCTTAAGAAAAAGTTCTCCCCTACCCTGATGAAAAACACTCATACCATCAAGTTCTATGGAATCTAAAGCTGCTTTCAATGTTTTCTTTCAATGTTGTCCATCTCCCCAGTTTTAAATTCTCCCTCTTTTAGAATCCTATCTGGCACATGGAGGAGGTTTTTTCAATAAATCAATACTGTAATAAAAAATGACTGCCTCTATGTACTCCAAATATTAACTGTGTTTCTCTTATAAGATAAAATCATTCACCTTATGTTCTGCATTTGACATTCATTTTTAATAACAGACCTTAATAAAAGAAGCACCTGGCAAAAAAGTGACTCTAAAATAGCACAAAGCTAAATCTTGTCTGCTTTGACATAATGGCTAATCAACTTAATTTGATTTCAGAAAGAATGATAGCATTTTGCTGTTTTCAAAGTATATTTTTGAAAAAAGAATATCATCTGAAAGAAATGCTATGAGGATAGGCATGTTAGGTAATAGCTATCATTTTTTTGTCAGCAAAATGGAAGGCTACCGTTTTCAGCAAGAATGAAATTAGCAGTTTATCCATGAAAAACATCAAAAACCAAAACCAAATTATATGCTTTTTCCTAAAATTATTATAGCATAAATATCCCTTGTCGTGGTTTAACCCCAGCCAGCAGCTAAGCACCACACAGCTGTTTGCTCACTCCCCCACAGTGGGATGGGGAAAAGAACAAGAAGACTAGAAGTGAGAAAACTCATGGGTTGAGACACAGTTTCATAGATAAAGCAAAGCTATAAGCACAAGCAAAACAATAAAGGAATTCATTCACCATTTCCCACAGGCAAGTGGGTGTTCAGCCATCCCTAGGAAAGCAGGGCTCCATCACATGTAACAGTGACTTGGGAACACAAATGTCATCCAAACCTCCCCCTGTCCTTCTTACCCCAGTATGATATGCTGAGCATGATACTATACGATATGGGATATCCCTCTGGTCAGTTGAGGTCAGCTGTCCTGGCTGTGTCCTCTCCCAATTTCTTATGCACCCCCAGCCTACTTGCTGGCAGAGAGGTGTGAGAAGCAGAAAAGGCCTTCAGGCTGAGTTAGAGCTGCTCAGTAGTAAAGAAAACATCCCTGAATTATCAACACTCTTCCCAGCATGAATCCAGAACATAGAACATACTAGCTACTGTGAAGAAAATTACCTCTATCCCAGCCCAAACCAGCACATTCCTGTAGCACCTATGTGGAAAACAATACATACACAATAAAACTACTCTCCAGCACATGTGCACACACAGAAAAAACGTACTTTCAAAATTTTATATTTAACAGCAGGATCTTCAAAACCACTTTTGTGTCTCACTCTGTGAAATTAGTAAAAAGAAAAGGCAGAGAAAGAAAAGGCAAAGCATAAGAGACTCACTGAGGAATATCAACAACCAAAACATATTTGCCTTTTCTGCTAGATACCATCATCCCAAAATGGGCTTTGCTAATTTGCCGATAGGCCTCCTGACAGCAGCTGCAACAGTTTTGAGCAAAGCTCTGTTCTGTCCTCATGAAAGCAACACTGAAGAGTTGTATGAGGTGTAGAGTTTCTAACAACACAGTCAATCAACATCATTATGGTATATGATTCCATTTTACAGCCCATTACTTACCCAGATATTTCCATCTTGGTGGTAGGGTTTCCAGTTTCTCCCTGTATCACTATAAAGCATCCGATATTGAGTGACCCAGTCAGAACTGCTGTACCTGCCTTGAGTTGCAATAGCACTGATCTGCTTCCTGTTCCCAAAATCCACCTGCAGCCATTGGTAATGATCACTGTCTGATGGAGACCAACCTCCTGCACCTATTGGGTTGAAACAGAAGAGAGATTTAGATCTCAGACATTCACTTTGAAGTGAACTTGTTGTGAAGATGCTGATTACTGGAAGGCAGCCCAGTTGAGAGGAATATAATGCAAAAAAAAATTAGAACATATATAAAAGAAATGATTGTCCATTTTTAAAAATATGCATAACAATCATTAGCACAGGCTTTAAGTACATTAACTCTGTTGCCTTAATCATATTTTGATATAATTATAATGATTTAAGAGTATGCCTACAAAACAATCAATGCTTTTATAATACCTTAATTACAGTTTATTAGGTTTTGCCAAATAATAATTGTTCAAAGGTTGACCAATTTGACATGCAGTCCTTTGTCAGAGTAAGTTGGCACAAATCAATAACAGTTGTTGGATTTTGTATGCCTTTTCAATAGTATTTCAATTTAAAGAGATAATATACATAAAACGTGAGGAAATTAGAGCAAGCTTTATGCTTTCCTGTGTTTCACTGTACTGCACAAACTGAAAGATCTACCAGAAGAATGGAGAGAGGAACAGATTCTGTAGGGCTGGATAAAGTTTTGATCTGCCGGTTGTAAAAGCTGTCACAGATTACACTGGCAGATGCCTTACAGAAGTGTTATTGCTCTTTATGGGTCTATGAATTAACTTGACAGGAATACTATTAACAATATTCTTCTCAGCCACTAGACTACATTAAACTGTTCTAAATAAAGAAGGCCAATGATGCAGAGATAAAAGTAGTATTAAGGCATTAATGCAACTTCTTATTCTTCTGAAATAAAAATACTCAAGGGAAAACTGTAGTAGGATTCTTCCAAGAATATTAAAATTTCCAAGGTAGATATTATAACAATATATTTACCATAATGATAAGTATTAGGAAATACATGACATAATGAAAAACCCATTTATCAATACAGAGAAAAAGTGGAATATCATTCTCTTTATAACCATACAGACACTAATACAGAGAAAACAAACAATTTACAGACTTGATGTGATTTACAAGGTCTTTTTTTTGCTTTTAACTTTGAACCAAATAAATGTCCTGGCACAACATCAAATCCTGTCGTCTAGTCCATGGGCCAATTTTTGTTGCTTTTAATTCACTTATAGGCTTCAATTGATGTCACAAATCTAGCCTGCTTGCCAAGCAAGAAGCTCTCTGTTATACTGCATCTTATATACTCCCATCATTAGGCGGCAGCATTGCTTCAGTCTTAGGCAACCCTAAAAATTATTCAGCTGCTTCAGGTATTAATGTTTGCAGGTCATGGGACATTTTAATTTTGTGATATCAACAGGATGATCTGATGTCATAAGAGGTTGACTTTCATTGTAATTAAAAGAGCAGCACTATACCATCAACATCGAATTTTTAATTTTTTTAAAGATTTACAATAGATGCATTCTCCCTGCACTACCCAGCAAAGTAAACAGGATGCTTCAGCTGTAGGGAATCGTTAAATGCTTTTTAAAACAAACAAACAAAACCACACAAACACCCTTACTGAAAAGCACTTGCAGAAAAAAGTATTCCCACCTGTTCCCAAATTCAGAACAGCTATATTTTTGTAAAGAATAGTAATTTAACTTAAAATAGAAAACAGCTTCTTTATAATTGCTATACATGGAGATCAGAGCAGTCATACTCTACATACTTGTTGTTATAGCAGACATGATATTTTCTTTCCCTATCCTAACGTCCCCATCCAACTGACATATCTGAGGCTGATAGGACACAAAGGATAAGAAGCTATGCCTGTACAGAAGCTATCTTGGTAAAAAACACTTTGGTGGCTACAGAAAAAAAATAGGTTCAAACGTGAATATTTTTAAAAATTATTATGAAAGACAAAGCTAATCACTCAAAATTTCCTTCAGCAATGCAATTGTTGAAATGGGACGATCAGTTATAGTTTTAAGAAGGTTAAAATAGATATTACATTTTTTTATACTTTTTCTTTATGCAGGAGATGTACATCAAACCATTTAACAAGTGTTAAGCATATTTAAAAGAAAAGACATTTTAGTATCATAGGATTTAATTTCTTCATTTAGCACATTCATATTACTGAGATAAGGTTGGCCTTCTGTAATTGAAAAACATATTAACTGTAAATTTCAACTAGATTTCAAAGAGTCTTCTACAAATTCATTGAAAAGTTTGGAATGAGTGCTAACATTCCTTTTTTCAGGTTGTTGGGGTTTTTTTGAGGGGGGAAGGGGTGTTGTTTGATTGGTTGCTTTTTATGTCAGAAGAGGCAGAAAGCATTTTTCACAGAAGTTAGAAATATGTGACACAATACTCACATCTAGGTCAGGAGATGGAAACAACTAGTATTGCAAGACAGTCTGCCCTATAGCCATTTCTAATAAGTGAGAAACAAGACTTTTAGTCAATATTGCAAAGAGCAGCAAACAATATTATCTTATATCTCAGTTTCATATTTGCCTTCTGGCTTTTCCAAGTAAGCAAATAAATAAACAAATAGTCAAAAGGATGAAGGAGAAACTTGCTGGAATACAGCTAAATATGCTGCTTAGCAGACCAGCATGGTAAGGGAATGATAATCAATCTGAGTGGGAGGGCAGGCCTCAGCCATTCAACAGAAGCAACCTGTGAGTATCAATTAGAGGCGTCTTTTTATTCATTAAGCTGTGCAGTTTCAGGGAGGTGATTTTGTTCATTTTGTTGATGATACGTGTATCCTCTATTGGTTCAGGGATCCTTTTTTTTCCTTTTTTTTTTTTTTCTGGTGCACGTTCTAAATAAGTTATGAAAATATTGGATTATATACAGATTTCCTCACTGTAAAATCTTGCAAACACCCTGAATTCATTGGAAGAATTCAAGTGCATTTGTGTCTCCACCCGCTCTAAGAGGGTACAAAAATCTCACATTCCCAGAAATGTGCACATGCTCACAGCTCTGCATATCATTTAATATTTTGTTGAATAAAACCCAGCTTCTTCACTGGGATGCAGAAGCTGGTTTGATGCTGGACAGGGAAAAGAGGATTTACTGACAAATAGTATATTTAACACATTTTGTCTTTTTAAAAGAGTGATGAATTTGGAAATCAAACTTGATTTCCATAATATGGCATTATTTTTGAAAAACAATTTTATGGCCAATACATTATGACAGAATAATGAATTATCCTTAAGGAAGCAGCAAAGTGACTGCACATTAGTTGTTTTCAATGGGCGTTATATTGTACTGAAACTGCAGTGGCTTATTAAAATTGTTGAATAATTGCTATTCAGTATTATTATTCATACTTTGGTGTAAAGAGTTCATTTTTAATGGTTACAGGCTATATTCTGAATTTTATTAATTATTTGCACTTTTTATTATGGAAGAAAAAAAGGCATTTGATACATGTTTTTTCATATGATGCTCCCTTTATTTCATGTACTACCTTTTAATAACAAATGCTACAGTGTACTATAAAATCATTGAGAGCTACAAATTATGAATAGGTTATAACTAGAAAATATTTTAAAGATATTAAACAGATGTAAATAATACAGTTTACTTTCCTTAAAAAGGTAAGGAACATTTATGGAGTTTTTTGGTGGTAAAGTGCAATAAAATCAATTGCAGACAATATCTGCTTCCTATTTTTATACTATTCAAGAATTTGATATGATTTAACATATTCATCCACTCAGCAGCCCAAATAAGTGATTCAGTGAGATTAACCAAGAGAGATACTGGGTACTCCTATTGTATTGTATAGCATTCAACACCACAAACAAAGCAACTCATTCCAACTTGAGCAAGACTGAATGTGTGTGAACCTTTGTTAATAGAGAACTGCGAGTTCAGCAACAGTAAAGTCAACACTGAGCATGTGGCCCACATATTTCCAAGCATCCAAGAAACTGTCCTGTGCATAAAAGCTTGCAAGTCTTCATCAGAAAAGCCAGACAGAGAATATCTGTGGTAAAAGGTGGCTATAAAAGATTTCATAGAGCTATATTTTCAAAACAAGCTACAGAAAATCATATGACCTGCTCTTACTTCAACCTGACCAAACTACTGAAAAACACACTAAGTATGACTTACCTAGAAGACATAAAACTATATTCAAAATACTAAGAACTTGTAGAAGTTTTTTTTTTTTTTTAATAATTTTTTACCAAATAAACACAATAGCGAACAAATGGTATTAGTTTCACTACAAGAGTTAAAGTCCAAAGATTTCAGGGTTTTTTTTTTTAAATTATGAAAACTCCAATGCATTTCATGTTTTTATTGGATTTTAGTCTACAGGTTCATTCTCTGGAACAAAAAATGGTATATAAAACATAGTCTATCTCTGAATGACACATATAAAATATAGCACTTAACGTATTTCTAGTATAAAGAATTCAAGTCAACATTGGCCTATTTTTCCAAACTTTCACATATACTTTTTATTATTTTTCTTATTAATTACATATTTCAGCTACTTATTCAAAGTTGAGTAAGCTACCTCCCATTTACTGTACATGAAGACAGTCTATGTGATGATTTAGCCATACTTTCTTATCATTCCCCCTGATGAATTGTCCATAAGTAGTAAAGCTGGGGTAGGTATACAGATTTTAGATTTTTATCTGAATTCTTTTAGGCTACTGAATTTACAGATCTACCTTAACTCTTTTAGGCTATTGAATTTACAGATCTACAAGAAGGGGGACACTTTTTGAAAATTTCCGTTCCGTTTCAGTTAGAAATCTCTCTTTTGAAAATTTGGCGCTTTAATCTTCATTCATGGTTGAAACTGGAAAGATTAATTTCCACTAGAAGAATCCACTCTTGTTTTAGTCATACTTTTCCATCATTCCCTACTTCAAATCACAAAATTAAAAATACCAGTACTGCAGTAAGTCTAGTGTTTAATTCTTTTCAAACCAGTAATAAAAGGTTTCAATTACATGAATTAAAGAAGGAAAGGATCGTTACTCAGAAATTTCATTAGAAAACAAACTATGAAAAACAA